AGCTTTTCCGGCCGCGGGGGGGTCGTTGCCAACCCTCCTGCGCCAGTCCGGAGGCCTCACCGAGCCATTCAATCGGTAGTAGCGACGGGCGGTGTGTACAAAGGGCAGGGACGTAATCGGCACGAGCTGATGACTCGTGCCTACTAGGCATTCCTCGTTGAAGAGCAATAATTGCAATGCTCTATCCCCAGCACGACAGGGTTTAACAAGATTACCCAGGCCTCTCGGCCAAGGTGATGTACTCGCTGGCCCTGTCAGTGTAGCGCGCGTGCGGCCCAGAACATCTAAGGGCATCACAGACCTGTTATTGCCGCGCACTTCCATCGGCTTGAGCCGATAGTCCCCCTAAGAAGCCAGCGGCCCGCAGACGCGGACCGGGCTATTTAGGGGCCGAGGTCTCGTTCGTTATCGCAATTAAGCAGACAAATCACTCCACCAACTAAGAACGGCCATGCACCACCATCCAAAAGATCAAGAAAGAGCTCTCAATCTGTCAATCCTTATTTTGTCTGGACCTGGTGAGTTTCCCCGTGTTGAGTCAAATTAAGCCGCAGGCTCCACGCCTTGTGGTGCCCTTCCGTCAATTTCTTTAAGTTTCAGCCTTGCGACCATACTCCCCCCAGAACCCAAAAACTTTGATTTCTCGTAAGGTGCCGAACGGGTCATCATAGAAACGCCGTCCGATCCCTAGTCGGCATAGTTTATGGTTAAGACTACGACGGTATCTGATCGTCTTCGATCCCCTAACTTTCGTTCCCTGATTAATGAAAACATCCTTGGCGAATGCTTTCGCAGTAGTTAGTCTTCAGCAAATCCAAGAATTTCACCTCTGACAGCTGAATACTGACGCCCCCGACTATCCCTATTAATCATTACGGCGGTCCTAGAAACCAACAAAATAGAACCGCACGTCCTATTCTATTATTCCATGCTAATGTATCCGAGCAAAGGCCTGCTTTGAACACTCTAATTTTTTCACAGTAAAAGTCCTGGTTCCCCCCACAGCCAGTGAAGGCCATGGGGCTCCCCAGAAGGAAAGGTCCAGCCGGACCAGTACTCGCGGTGAGGCGGACCGGCCAGCCAGACCCAAGGTTCAACTACGAGCTTTTTAACTGCAACAACTTTAATATACGCTATTGGAGCTGGAATTACCGCGGCTGCTGGCACCAGACTTGCCCTCCAATTGTTCCTCGTTAAGGGATTTAAATTGTTCTCATTCCAATTACGAGACCCAAAAGAGCCCCGTATCAGTATTTATTGTCACTACCTCCCCGTGTCGGGATTGGGTAATTTGCGCGCCTGCTGCCTTCCTTGGATGTGGTAGCCGTTTCTCAGGCTCCCTCTCCGGAATCGAACCCTAATTCCCCGTTACCCGTTGCCACCATGGTAGGCCACTATCCTACCATCGAAAGTTGATAGGGCAGAAATTTGAATGAACCATCGCCGGCGCAAGGCCATGCGATTCGTTAAGTTATTATGAATCACCAAGGAGCCCCGAGGGGCATTGGTTTTTTATCTAATAAATACACCCCTTCCGAAGTCGAGGTTTTCAGCATGTATTAGCTCTAGAATTACCACAGGTATCCATGTAGTAAGGTACTATCAAATAAACGATAACTGATTTAATGAGCCATTCGCAGTTTCACCGTACAATTGCTTATACTTAGACATGCATGGCTTAATCTTTGAGACAAGCATATGACTACTGGCAGAATCAACCAGATACCTTGGTCCTCTCGGGGCACACCCGCGGCTCTTGAGCCCCGGGGCACCCCCAGCCGCCCCCCGCGAAGGGAGGCAGAACGCACGTCGGTTTTCACTCTGGAAGGGGCAGGTCCCCCCCGCGACCGTCGCGCCTCGTCCCAGCGTACTGGGCGGGCACAGGCCGGCCGAAGGAGGGGCCCACCCGACCGTCGCGCCGCGTCCCAGCGTACTGGGCGGGCACAGGCCGGTCATCCGATTGCCCCCACTGTTAGCCCTCCAGGCACCGATCCGCACGCAGGGCCCGCTGAATCCCCGGGGGGAGTGCAACGGCCTGCGGCATCCGGGCCTCGTTCGGGGAGTCTCACCCAGCAGTCACGCCGGCGAACGGCGGCTACTGAAGGGCGGCGCACCCCATGGACTGGGACGTTGGCGAAGGACATGGCGAGCCGCCACGAACCCACACCGACCCGGACCACGCCGGGGGCCCAGCACACGCATAGGCCCCGGGACTTAACACCCCCGTCGGGGCACCCCTCCGGGTGGGAGGGATGCGCTTCCGGGGATGCCCGACCGCAATTCCTTGCTGAAGCCCAACCGCAGAAGGCTCAAGACCATCAGCGCGGACAAAGCGGCCTGTCAAGTATGGAAGAAAGCGCAGGGGGTCTTCCTTGGCTCCTCACCAAGTACTAGCCTTCCTACACATACCCACCGACCCCTGGTGGGGGGCGATTTGGCGCGCAAACGTGAAGTCGTGCAAAAGTTGCTGGGGGGGGAGCGGTTTTGTATGTGGTGGTCC